CCATATACACATAAAAACTCATTCACACATTATAACCCATATACACATAAAACTCATTCACACATTATAACCCATATACACATAAAAACTCATTCACACATTATAACCCATATACACATTATAAAAAATCATTCACACATTATAACCCATATGTATATTATAAAAAATCATTCACACATTATAACCCATGCACATACATGAAATGACGACTCATATGCACATTATTACCACTCTATAAACACTGTGATCCACATTAAAACAATCCATAACTATTTACGACCCATATACATAATAAAACAACTCATCTGCCCATATACCCCCACATATATATACATCACGTTAACATTATAATGACCCAGATGCACAACAAAATTAACAACTACTAGTACATAATAAAAAGATAGTGTTCGCTTTCCACCGTCAATGTATTCATTTTAATACTGAGTATCGAAATTGTAGATATAATGATACAAATCATGTTTTATGTTTGTTTCAAATTGAAGTTGAAAGTATAAATTCATCTAATCCACCAGAGAAAAATCCGTTGATAAAAATTAATGTTCAGAAAGTCAATAGTGTATGTGTTGCTCCGAATAAAACGCAAAAAAATACTTTTTCATCCAAAACAATATATAATGCGTGCGGTATTGAGTAGGAAGAAAACGAGAGAAAAAAATACATTTCTTTTATAATGTCTGATTCTGTATTAAGATAACATACATAGAATGCCCTGATCACAATTACACTATTTCTAGTTGTTCCCTTTCCCTACCTTACATTACAAATAAAGTCCACAAATGTTGGTGAACAGTATCAAGAATATAATGTTAATTTTATCCATGCACAGCATACCTTTATGCTGGATAATGTAAAGTGACAAGTACCATCTTGATAATTGCTGTGTAAACATTATGCTTGAATGATTATCATGACTACAAAGGTCAACGACGATGATCAAATACATATGCTATCTATATTAATACTATATCCTGCCTTCTATCATAGTTACGCTATACCAACTAAAATGATACCAAAACAGGTACAGTACAGCGCAGTACAATGATGTTTGATTCACGAGTAAAATAAAACAAAGACTCTAACATCATTGAACATTTAATTTAGGAAAAACAAACCTGTCACATTGGTCCTCACTGCAAGAGGTTACGATCCCCTGTCTAATTCTAAGGCAAATTAAAACAAAAAAACCTGACATTTATTGAACATTTGACTTAGAAAAAACAACCCTTAGAACCCCGTCGGTACGCCAGTCATACTGGTGCTCACTGCAAAAGGTTACGACCCCTGTCCAATTCTAAGGCAAATTAAAACAAAAACTCTGACCTTTATTAAACATTTAACTTAGAAAAAATAACCCTTAGAACTAAATCGGCATGCCAGTCATACTGGTACTCACTGCAAACGGTTACGACCCCTGTCTTATTCTAAGGCAAATTAAAACAAAAACAAATAACGTATGTGTAATTTCTTGGAATTGGATACTCTCACACTCACGAAATTTATGCGAGTGATGAGGTGGCAAAAACGAACCACCAGGGAGAAACCGTCGAACTAGATTGTAAAAGATCATTTAGAAATACGAGAAATAAAACGACAAAAATAAAGCGCCAATTGCCGGACATTTAATAGTGGACAGTTTTCAGAATAAGCAAAATTTGTCTTAGCAAGAAAACCAGCAGTAGTGCTTCATGCACGACACTGTAAGTTTCCCTCACAGTAGTACAGTAGTCAAAAATTATAGTGTTTATTGAGTGTCCAGTCCCTCTTTTAATCGACGTATTTTATATTGTCACATTTCTTATGACTAATGCCACTAGATTTAAACCCATGAAGCATATTTGGGATGTACTAAACCTTTCAACTCTGGCAATAAATCACAAATAGTTGGTCTGCTTTCTGCTGGCACAAATACCCGATTTAGTAGTGCTCT